GATTATTGATTAAAAAAAAATGTTTAGATCGAAGCTTGAGACTTGAATGTTTTGCCTTTGGGTCTTTAGGCAGTCAGAAATCAAGCAAATCAAGTGTCATAGCAGTCAAATTCCAGTCAACTCTCAAGTCTTAATCTTTGTCTTTAATCTACAGCTCTGGTATTGAGCTGTATAATATTTTTCAGGAGAAATAAAACAGTAATGAAACTTACCGAGACAGTGTTGCACCCAGAAGACTGCAGAAAGCAGAAGTCCAGGAAATTGTGCAGGTGCTTCCAACACATTGTTTTATCACTGTCTACTCTGTGCCCATCCAGCACACAGGCTCAGCTTGGCTGTGGTCTCATGTTGATTAGCCAAAGCGTGTCTGGTAGCAGCACTTTCGCCACTCACTTTCTCACTGGAGTACCATCTGCAGCTCGCTGCCTCAGTGTTTGCCTCATACTCCCAATCCCATTCAGATGTGAATGCCAAAACAATCAGATAGGAAGACATTGACATGAACACTCTGTGGTTGAATTTGTGAGTCAAATTTCCCCCTTTGCTACCCTGCATCCTGGTAAACAGATTTTGAAGATGGGCTTGTTGAGTGGCGTGTTCTTAAGGCCACAGCCTCATGGTGGGAAATAAACAGTGGTATCTAAGAGTGAAGATGATGACAAGGCTATATTAGGATGTCTTTCCATTTCTTTTCAAATGGCTTCATTTATTTTCTCTAGCCTGTATTGGACTGTGGATAGCATCTGCAGCGAACAGCTAGTTATCACTTTTGACATCGCAAAGTGACTCCCATCAGTCTGTAGATAGGAGTCGCTTCACCAACAAAAGTGGAGGAATGAAAGAGGCATATTTTTCTTGTAAAAAACACCAACCCAACAACACCTTTAAAGATTTTGTGCTTATTCAGGCAATTCTGTGTTCCCTGGCTCGTGTCAAACTCAGGACCATGTTGTGCTCAAAAATACTAAAAGCATGAGAGGCAAAAAGAAATAGCTTCAATCAATACTTGATCATTTTTATATGGAGAGCTGTGTGCAAACAGTAGATAGAATGGAATAGTTCACCTGAAATCAGTCCTGACACACAGAGGGACTCCGGCATTACCCTTCTTCATCTCTGGGTCTTTATTTTAAAAGGAGAATAAATTCAGAGTCGGTTTCACTGCTGGCAGGACTGCCTGTGTGGTGTAAACCCTCTTGAACTATTGTAGTAATCCACAAAACATTGCACAGCTGGAGGTGAGATGCTATCTAGTTCATGCTGGATAATGGGACACAAAAATGGTTTCACTCTGGATATCAAACTGTGTCCAGAGTGAAACGTACGAAAAAAATGGTCATTCATGTTGTGAATCACGATGAGCTTTGTTGTTTCATATCACTGATAGTTAAGGTTCACATATACTGTATGTTCAGCTGCAGTGATAGCGCAGCATGTTCCATGTCTTTTTTCATATTTTTAAGATGATGTGAGTCTGATTTTGTTAAGTGCAATGAAACATTTTTGCCATGCAAGCAGTCTGGCTCCAGGGATGGCAATGTTGGTTGGTGATTCCACCACCTTATTACCACAGTACAGACTAAAATGTCTTAAACTATTGGATGGATTGCCATGAACGTTGGGACGACCATCTATCTGTCAGCTATATTAAGTGCTGACTAACAAATGTTAGCATGCTAACATGCTAAGTTGGATAACTCACTGAACATTTTCACTGTAAGCATGTTAGCCTGCTGATGTTAGCATTTAACTCAAAACCTAATTGACCCTTCGCTAAGCCCCGCCTCTCTTAGTTACAGACAAACTGTTGGCGCTGCCACTGTCTATTACTGCACTCCCCGCAGAAATATTGTCAAATTTTAGTGATGGGCAAAACAAAGCTTTGTAAAACATTGAAACGTCTGAAGCAATTGTGTCGGAATTGTGTCGAGGCTTTGACACACTTCGACACCCGTCTCCACTGTGACACCTACTGGTCACTTTTGATATCGAAACATCTTGGTAATGGGTTCATTGAAACAATGACTGACCTGCGTTTACAATTCTAAACACCTTATCAATACATGACCAACAGGATTTCGGAGAAATCACCATACAACAAACACACAAACGTTTTCAGATTGTCAGAGACAGCAGATGGGGATTGCAATAAAAGTGTGTTTAAATAAAACACATCTGTGTGTTGTTTCATAAGTAGTCACTCATTTAGCCGACGCTTTTCTCAAAAATAAATCCCAATTGCTATGTCAGAGGACGCACTTTAACTAGGGTTAAAGTGTCTTGCTTAGGGACACATGTATTACAGTGGGAATCGAACCCAGGTCTCTCGCACCAAAGGCATGTCTTAACCACGACCCCATAGAGACAACTTGCTCATGTTTAGAATCGGAATACTTTCCTGATCTCCGACGGTGAAGTCTTTGTTGCAGATACTCGCAAGACGGAAAAGGAATAGAAATAATAGGTAGTTGAAGTTAGTGAGTAGAGAATATAATAAAGTATACAAATATAAGAATATAGCCTAATAATAAATGATAATAAATGTTGATATCTACAGTATTATACAGTAGCTTATTAACAAAGGTGTCATGATAATTAGCAGGAAAGATATAGGCCCTAGTGTAGAGTGTTGGCAGTGATGAGGTGTAATGGATTAAAAATCTGTAACTTAGTAAGCTTTAAGTTGTTTCAAGAATGATAAATGAAAAGTGGAACAATGTCTCACATTTATTATATGTCAAGAATTGTATTCAGAAATATTCAGCTGTATTGGGGCTGATCACCAGCCTTGGAAAAATTTGGTCACATGGAACATTTGTTACTGGCAAAGATAAATATTTTTTTTGCCATCATAGGCCTACAGGTGCGGATATACTACAGCAGGGTGCTCCAATAAATCAAATGATTGTGTCTCCTTGGATCTGTCAAATGAGTTTAAAGCTGATGTGCGGTTTGTTCCAAACACTGAATCAAGCGTAGAAGCGGTAGGTCTGCCACCTGTCGAAAAAGGGGTGAAACACACCGAAGCCTCGCTTCACTATGGTCACGTGACATTGACGTTTTGAACCACGCTTTGGAGCAGCGTCGACACGTCAGTATCGAGCGTCCCATCCCTATCAAATTTGTTGTAAAAAGCGATCTCAGAAAGAAGCAGACAGTTTGACCATATCTTCAAAAAATACAGCCAAAAAAAGCTAGAAAACGATTCTTTTTTGCATTGGAGTCAATGGAGCGCATCCATGAAAGTATCGGACCTCAGTTAGAGCGAGGTTTTGTGTAAATCTTGATTTACTGTGCCTGGTATTGTTTAAAAAAAAAAAAAAAAAGGACCTCTATTCTATATTTCAGTGTCACCTTCAACCCAGACAGAGAACTTGAGTGTACATGATATTTGATCAAAGAACAACAGGACAGGTCTTTTTCCAAAGTCTTCAGATCATGTTAGATGTGTCTCAAATGAAATTTTATGATTGGGCTAATTGAAGTGGCCAGTCATCTTTTATATCTGTGGCTGGCGGCTTTACTACCTCCTTTTGAGACGAACAGGCAGAGAGTCACACCGTGGAAAGACAAGCAGCTTCCTTCATTACACAAGTCCTCACCAAAATCTAATTTTCTGCTTGCAACCAGGCAAACAACCTTTAGATTCAGTTAAGTTTAAGGTCTCACTGGCAGTTTTCAATAAGAAAGGGTCAAAGAATGAATATATTACATTTTTGTGTCTGATTAAACTGAAGGTTGAATCAAAAAGCCAAGCCATTTATTGCTGTTTAAAGGCTTGGGTATACATCATTTTTACATTCTTTTATATATTTGGATTAAATATTAGATAAAGGAAATATAATAAGGAAAGCAGCGAGCCTGTTTATAATAACTAATTAGCAATTCTACTAAAATATGTTTGTTTATCACATAATTAATTACCACCATCACATTATAGCTTGTCTTGACAAGAGCAGTCCATAGACTTGTCCGCTCTTGCTTGAAGCTGCTGTGTTGCTTTAGTTTCCCCATGGTTGTGATTTGATATGAGATTCACTAGACAATTTCCAGTTTATTACTGTTGTGTCCAGGCAGTCCCTGATAAGATTAACCAATGTCTATGAATCATTGCTGGAGAGTATTTGAGCCGCCGGTCAGTGGCTGAACGTGTACATCCAGGATTGTTCACCAGAGCAGTACAGTACCCTTTTTATATGAGCAACACTTGACAGAAACTGCCCTTGGCCGCTGATCCAGGGCGCCTGTGATGACGATGTGTTTCTGTTCTGCTATTGGCTGAGGTTCGGATTGAGCACACAGGTGTGATGATCCTTGATCTGTGGAGAAGGCCCTGACGTGCCTCTCCGGCCCCAAACCCAATTTCCACTGAAAGAATGAGGAGGGTAGCGTGCTCCGGGCAAAGCTCTGAACTCTCTTTCTTTTCTCGTCTTGTCTTTTAATCGCATCAGCCTTTTAATTATTTCATGAACTAGTCTCAGACCCTTTTTTAACCTTTCATGAAGAGCAGGGAGATAAGAGAGCTGTGATTGCTGCTTTGGTCTCCAGAATCTCAGCAGCATGCTGCATTGTCAGAGGCGTTTCAGAGGCGTTTGGTTTTTGGTTTGGATTTACTTCTGGTAATTGTGCATAGGGAGGTGGATGGTTTACCCTTCCAACACTCACACATACAGTGGCAAGAAAAAGAATGTGAACCTTTTGGAATTTCATGGTTTTCTGCATAAATTTGAAATCTAATCTTCTTCTTAGTCAAGGGTATTGACAAATATAATGTGTCTAAAATAATAACACAAAATAAATTCTGATCCCTCATGCTTTTATTGAACACACTCATTCAATATTCAAAATGGCTGTGGAAAAACACTTATAATCAATAACTGGTTGATCCCCCCCAATAACCTCAACCAGGCTGTTCCTGTTACTGTGGATCAGACCTGCACATCGTTCAGGAGGAATTTAGCCCATTTTTCCTGGCAGAACTACTTTAGCTCTGTAATGTTCTTTGGACGTCTCATGCGTATGGCTCTCTTCGAATCATTCCATAGCATCTGTATTGGGTTGAGGTCTGGTCTCTGACTTCAAAAGGCGGATTTTGTTTTTCTGAAGCCATTCTGTTATGGACTTGCTCCGGTGTTTTGGGTCATTGTCCTGTTGCATTACCCAACTTCTACACAGTTTCAGCTGACGTACAGACATTCCCGCATTGTCCTGAAGAATTGTCTGATGTACTTGGGAAATAATTTTCCCTTCAGTGATTGCAAGCTGGCCAGGCCCTGATGCAGCAAAGCAGGCCCAAATCATGATGCTTCCTCCGCCATACTTTACGGTTGGGATGATGTTTTCATGATGATATGCCGTGCCCTTTGTACACCACATCTAATGCTGTGTGGTTCGTCCAGATAGTTCAATCTTAGTTTCATCAGTCCACAAAACATGCCAAACTTGCCAATACCGCTGTAGAGTGTCAATGTCTTTCGCAAACTTCAGGCGTGCAGCAATGTTCTTTTTAGTAAGCAGTGGCTTCCTTCATGGTGTCCTGCCGTAGATGCCCTGCTTGTTCAATGTTTTACATATTGTAGACTCATGAACAGAGATGTTAGCCAATTCCAATGATGCTTACAAATCTTTGGCTGTCATTCGAGCTTGTTTCTTTACCTCATCGATGAGTCTTCGCTGTGCTCTTGGTGTCATTTAGACTGGGAGCCCACTTCTTGGTAGAGTAGCAACAGTCTCAAAGTGTCTCCATTTGTAGAATGTTTGCCTAACTGTAGACTGGTGAATTTCTAAAGTCCTTGTAATCGCTTTGTAACCTTTGCCAGCTTTATGTAAATCAACAATTCTTGAGTCGTAGATCCTCTGAAAGAGAGTCGGATCCTTCCCTTATGTCATGAGTGTTGCATAGTTTGCCCACCAGAGGGCGCTCTGCAGCTCCTCTGTTAACAACACTGCAGCACCACAGAACAAAACCTCAGCTGACCGCAGTCTTCCGGAACCACGTTGAGTAGCTCCTGGTAGCTCTCACACTCAATGTTCCCAGTGAGTTAGTCATTTGTCACATCAATTACATAACTTAAATAATAATAAAAATAGCCCTCATTACTTCTCCTATTCTCCTATTCCTCCTAACAATAAAAATTTTCTTGTTATACTGCATTATGTCATGGTATCTTGGTATGGTCTCAACATAACAAATATTAGGGATAATCTTTGTTTATGTTATGCGTTTCTTAAAATAAGGGGGAACGAGAATATTGGCCGATATATCGCCATATCGGATTTTAAAATCCTCAAATATCGAAATCTGCATCGGACTTAATAAAATCATATTTGTCGGGCTTTAGACCAGATATGTAGTACACATTGGGAAATCACATTGCTCTAAGGTATACAGTAGTGTTGTTAATGGTTAAATGTGTTGCATAAAAATACACCTCTTCAGCAAACAGAAGATGGCTGTGGACACCTAAACAGACTTTAGTATATATTTGTTCATCATTAGTTATCTTACACCGAAGCACTGGTGACTTGCTTTAATCCACCTACATATAGATGGATGTATCAGATCTGTGTGTCCATGTTTACATCCAGCTAGTCTTGTCTCTGTCAGCTTGGCTTTACAGACCTAATCCTGATGGGTGAAAGTGTTCACGCAGTCTGTGTGGGCTGCTGCCTGTGATACAGATAAACTGTCTGAAATCAATACACTTCTGCGCCACTCTGCCGGTGCGCACTGCCCCACTTTTTACCTTCAAAAGGTCAGAGGCAGCCTAGTCTTCGAACTCCACATTGTTTATTGCGTGACATGTCCAGCTCTAATGATCTGACTTGACTGGGCACACCTCATCACTACCACCACCACAACCAGCAGCCCTGCTTCTCCTTTTTGATTTGCTCTGAGATTGGAAGATGGATGGTTCTAACGTCCTTGACTAGTTTGCAATATGCGCTGCCATACCCTCCATCTATCCTGCATTTTGAATCCCAGTTCTGTTAGATGGCAGGCAATTACTGGAGATTGTTTTTCTTTTGTTGCACACGCTGGTCGGCGTAGTGCCCCCTTTCTTCTTGGAAAGTTAGTGTCCTGTTTTCTTACTTGACAGATGCACAAAGCTTGAAGACAAGCATGATTTGACTTAGCAAGCACAGGTTTATGAGAAAATAGAAGTTGCATGAAATTAGTTGTCTCAGCTGTGTGTAATCTTCAAATGTTCAGAAAGAATTTTTATTTTATACTATGGTTTATTGTCTTATGTTGAACACAACTGGCCATCATAGTTGCCTTTTATTCACTACGTCTTGTTGCAGAGTTGGGTTGAGTTAGGAATACATATTTTTAGAGCCTAAATAAACGTAAACACTATTCTTTTTTTTAGCTGCTGTATTGTTGTGGTTTATATGCTGTCGGTGTGACTTTAACACTTACCCAAAATAATTCAGCCAATTATGCAGGTTATTCAGATTGATAAGAACCTTTTAATTAAAAAGAGTTTTATGGGGAAAAATATTTAATCAGTCTTGAATCCAAACAAACACTGACGAGTTTAATCTGGATGCTCTCTCTGTCAGGTTTAAGATATTTCCTAATTAAGCAAATCATTTTGCAATAAAGCAAGGTCGTAGTTGGTCACTCCCATCCTCTGGTAGCTGAAATTAGTGTTTCATCTTATTAAATCAAGAGGTATTAGGAGTGGAGAATGTGAGCGAGATGTGTACAATATAGCAGTAATGAGTGACCGCAGAATGAGAGATATGGATAGCTGGAGGAGAATGACCTTGGCATCAAACATTTATCTCTGAAGATGTGGGAAATAATCGGCATCGGCTCCCAGCACTGAGCAGCATGCCCTCATCACTGCGCTGCAAACAATGAGCTTCACTGACGATGGGGAGTGTGTTAGAAGGATGTGTTTCAGTTTCTTATCTTTTTGGTGTTCTCTTTTTTTTACACATTCCTGAGCCTGCGAGGCTTTAGCAGCCAAAGGGATCGTTAAAAATGGCTGCCTCTCCGCCACCAAATAATATTCCAGACTGTAGCTGAAGCTATTCCTGTAAGGTTTTTTTAACAGTAATAAAGCTTTAGATTCCCACACTAATATTATTTGTGCTTGGTTTGGAAGGAAAACAATCTATATCAAAGCCTCTCATTCAGTTGAAAAGGCACTATTTGCAATCGAGCAGTGGTGCCATAAGTTCCAGCTGTAATCAGCAAGAACACACCAACCAATCGCCTACAGTCTTTTTGGCTTATTGATATTTACTTGGCTCATAGCAAGTGTGATTTTGTTTGATATTTAAAAAGCAGGGATACAGGATGTTAACAGCGGGAATATAGACATCATGGCGCTCCACAGCGCTAGCAGTTACCCCAACAGTCTCTGTGACATTCAGCAGTTGGAAATGGCGTTTGTGACATTCACTGACTAATATATTCACCTCGGCTGGCTCATCTAGCCCCTCACCAGAGCAGACAGCTGCTATAAAGGCTATGTGCACCAAGTATTCTCACACTGTCAACAACTTGCTGTAACCGGGCTGCATGATTTTATCACCCCAGAATGGAGTGAAAAGCCAGCAATGCCGGGCTCATGCTTTTTTTAGAACTGTGGCTATGTGTTTTTTTTTTGTTGTTTTTATCTCATGTATAATATACACAAAGTATTTTCACACCATCACATTTGTGTGGTGTTTTTTCTCCTTTTTTCTCGCACTGCACCACGTTAGTCCTGCTTTAACCCACACCAGAATGCGACAGAGATGTGACAGTAGGCTATTACTTTCTGACATATTGCAATGCACATGTCATTTAACATTTCATTCAAATGATGGACAGGGATGCGTTACCACATTCAGCTTGTCACAAAGAGCATTGCTTAATATTTTCTGTTCCTCATGCTGTATTAGATGACAAAATGGCAACTGCTGCCATTTTCACAGTGATGATATGGGAGCCTGATAGCAGAAGTTTTATTTACTGTTTCTGTGTAGCACAGAGTGCCGCACAACCATCTCCTACAACTGTGGGAGAGGAAAACACCCACTCGCCTTCAGCTGCAGAGGTGCACTGGATTCCTTATGCTGCAGCATAGCCCTTGAACCTTCATGTATACTTTTACAAAACAAAGCATAGTTTTGGATTTATTACCCTCCATCTGGGGAGCCATTGGTTTCCTTTCATTTCAGATTTGAGAATCAATTCGCAGAGCCTTAAACTTTGCTTGAAATAAGTAATCCATCACAGTGAACATTTCATCGCCTTTAGTTTTCGTAAGTTACAACTTTACTTTCTCTGCCCTACTCCTTCATTTATTACTCTCTCTCAGCTATGCCTTAGGACTCCTATCCATTCATACACTGCTTTACTCTTTTATCCTATGCTAGCTGCCACTCATCTCACTTACGTACATGGGAGACAATTACATTTATTAACCCAGTTAGCTCCATGCACTGCACTGCTTCCTCCACCAGCAACAGTATGGTAGTGGTCGACTGTTTATGTTAATCAAAGGCCGGGGCCATAGATGGTTTGTCTGGTGTGTGTTTTTTAATGTAACATTGTATTTTTTGTATTTCATACAATGTCCTGTGCTTGTTACTCCTTTGGGTTATCCTTGCTGTAAACTGCATTATCACACAACAATAGAGTAGCTTTGCCAAAAAAAAACCAATTTCTATCTAAATATAAACCAATGGCTCCCTGGAAAATAGAAAATCAGTGTGGGATAAAACATGCTTAATCACCAGTACGATCCTTGTATGTAAGATAGGTGGGGATACAGACTTTGCATATTTTTATATTTTAGTCAAGAAAGCAATTCCTGAATGAACTACAATATGTGAATTCAAGCTTGAAGAAACAAAGAAACAGGAAACAAAGAGATGACCGAAAGTCGATGGTACTTGTAGGTGATGTTGAGAGATGATTCAGCCCTTCAGGACGTCTAATGAGAGATAGTACAGTCTTTTCCTCTCCACTGCCAACAGCTGCTGCTGATTCCCTACCGTGCCTGAAGGACGTTAGAGCACCCTGCGATGTCCACCCTCTCCTCACCCATCCTCCTGCCTGACCACCCTGTAATTAGCAAACACCCACATTTAATCAGTGCAGTGATAGCTGCTGAGACCTGAAAGAATAAATAGACTAAAGAAAGGTAAAGATAAGAATTTTCTTGTGGTCGCTGGCTCCATCGTGCTACCGTAGAGCTGTGATTGACTTGGCAAAAGCTAAATCATTGCTTGCCAGGCTGCTGTATTGGAGTAGATTGACAGAGAGTATGAGTAAGAAAAAGAGAAACCAATAGAGCTCGATTGCACTCGCAGCTCAAGAGAGAGCAGCCTATTGTATTTACAAGCCAAGCGTGTGTGCATGTGCTCTCCTCTCCCCTCCATTCCGCACCTCCACTAGAGGATTGAGAAGGCGTGTAGCGTGGTGTCCACAGAGGGTTCTCAACACCACCGTGCATTTTACCGCTTGTAAAGCAATCATTTCCATCCCCACTTCCCTCTCTCTCCCTCCCTTCGGCTGCAGGGACTGCTGAGTCAGCTCACCTTCATATGGAGAGTGGCTCCCCCAACCGAGACGTTATTGATTTGCCCCTGTTTGTATGGGGGAAATGTTCTGAAACCTCTCAGGCCAATTTTGCTGCGCTGCACAGTCAGGAACACCGCTGGGCATTGGCTTGAGAGAAGAGAAAGACATAAACATTACTACCATTGCATGCATGTACACACAGGCAATCTGACATGCATTCAGCGTTAGGAGTGAAAAGTATGGAAAGTATGAACACCAACATAATTACACACATGGATTCAGAGGCACAGCCTGACACACATACAAAAAATACATACACATGTTAGCGGTGCGTCAGTTGTTTACTACTGACTTCATGCGTCAGTAGAATTTAGTAGAATAGTAGAATAATTTGGCTACGAGAACCACAGCATATGAGTGTCTGCTGAGGCACATTCACAAGCGTTTTTTTCCTTTTTCATGTGTAATTGCCGAGTAGTATTCTGCTAAAGTGTAATGGATCTGTCCATTACAACATGTAAACCTCATACCAAGCCTGCAGATTGTCTCTCTCTTGTTTTCTCTCTGTCTCACCTCTACCATACTGGTGGGAGTATAGTACTCACATGTTTGCGCACACACACACACACACACACACACACATTATGACTCACCAAGGGCGCATTTTACCAGAGCGCACACACACTTTACTTCAATGTGGGCCCGGGCCAGTGAGCTACATCATTGCTTCATTTGGATCAAACTCCAGAGCTCAGGAGTCATTTATCTACATAGTGTGTGTGTGTGTGTCTAACCTTCAGACATCCCACTCCTGGCCACTGGGAGAAATCAATGCCAGGGTGTAGAACAAAGAGAAAGCCCCCTCTGACTTCACCAAGGCAGAGATTTAAATAATTTATTTGTTATTATTTTTCAGCTGTAGACAATTCAACATCGAAGTGCAGACGTTATGGGGGTACAAAATGCTTTTTGTTTTTGTGTGTTTTGCTTGTTCTGATCCACTAGATAAAATCTGTGATGAGTGTACTTTGAAAACCTTTCAAAAGTTGATGTATATTGTAGCATACAAATCCATCATTGCCTTTGGAAAAATGAGCAAAAGATACGTGAACAGTATCTTGAAAGTTTTGTTTATATGCTTTCATACTGCTCTACCTGTGCACCCTGATATTGAACCTGATCATTCACACTTTTGAACCAATTCCCATTACCGCCGCTTTTTGTTTTACTCTCCCCACCTTACAGTCTTCTTTATTTGTCTTAAAAGAAGTGTGGTGGTGCTTGCCAAAGGAAGAGCACAGTAAAAATGTCAAGGAGATTTAGACAGCTGCAAAATTCATGAGGTGGCAGTTTGCTATTATCAGCATGTCTGTGTTTGTCGAAGCCTGGAGTATCCCCAAACCTTCAGTATCAAAAATTTGTTTTTCCTGTGTCCTCTGTATGTGTGTGTGTCTCAAGAGTGACTGATGATATCTCACTAGACCCGCGAATGTCTGCACTCGCAGCTTCTGCATTTCCTGTCTTGTATTCTGTAACACACACACACACACACACACACACACACACACACACACACACACACACACACACACACACACACACACACACACACAGGTATAAGCACGTACACACATCACTGGTGTCTCGCTATCCTGTTTTCCCATCTCCTGTGACTCTGTCTAGCTGGTACTGCTTGAGTGACAGCTCTTGGTTTGTCTGGGTATCCGTGGTTACAGCCCAGAGGCCTGCGCCGGGGGACCCAGACCTGTCAGCACTCTCTGAATCCTGAAACCAGAGATGGATGGCCAGGAGCCACCTCTGCCCTGAGTTCTGTGCTTTGCTCGTCTCTCCTGCTCCTCTTTACTCTTTATACCAGACCCTCCTCCTAAACAGACCCATTGTTGGCAGCTCGGTACTGCAAAAAATGGAGCCAAAAATGTCTCGATACCTGTTCTTTTAAGGGTAGGAGAAGGCAAAAATCTTAGGAAAAAACTAAAGCTAATTTGTATAGTAAGGTGAAGTAAAATTTGTTGTTTGTTCCAAGACTTATTTGAGTCGTCTTGTAGTGATAGGCGATACAGCAGAAGTCAAGGATAGAGCAGAAGTCATGTCACAGCATTTTGTAAGGGCAGCTGGTTCTGTTAATCTTGACGCTCGTGCTAACAACCCGGATCAGTCGTCCCAAACGGGTGGAACATTTACAACAGATCAGGTGTCTGTCCATCTCCAGTGCCCTGATTCTTCTGCCTTGACAGACATGTATGACAGCTCAGATGCCGGTATTGCCTGTCGCTCCAGTGCCTGAAGCCTGAAGCCCCACAACCGATGGATCGAGACAGAAAAAGAGAAGGGTGATGAAGGCAGGAGGAGAAGAAAGCGTGGGGGTGGGGGGTTGTTTTGGACCGCCTCAGGCTCAGGCCGATAAGGGCGGTAGCAGTGCTGCCAGAGTGTGTGTGATCTCTCAACCAGCTAATGAGAATATTTAACATTTGCTGAGTCCACAGTGTGTTGGAAGTCATTCATCACTCCACGGATTCAGTCCTCACCAGTTATATGTTGCGTGTGCAAGATGCCTGCCATGGTACCCGAAGGCAGTGCTAGGAAGGTGCATTTAGTGCAATGAAACACATCAGAGTAATGAGTGAGGGTCTTTCTTCTTAACAATTTTTTTTTTTTTTTACTAGTGTTAATAATTGACTAATTATTTTGCCCTTTATTAAGCAATAACACCAAACATTATCTGGTTAATCTCTAAAATCTAAGGATTTCTCACTTTCTTTAGTCTACATCATTATTGTTAGTTTTTTTATGCTGGAGAAACAAATAAAAACTAATTAAAGATGCCAACTTGGGCTGTCCTAAATAGGGGGTGACTCTTTTCACCATTTTTGACATTTTATTTGTCATTCTATTCTATTGTCTGAAGAAGACAAAGAAACTTAAGAAAATAAACTAATCTAGTCTATAGCCATGCTAGCTCTGTGAGGATGTACACAGCAGTGATTTGAGTGAAATGTTAAAGTCAGCATGCTATGCTGCTAAGTTTGGCATGTTAGCATGCTAACATTGGCTAATTAGAACGTAACACAAAGTATAGCTGAGGCTGATAAGGATGTCCATAGTTTTCTAAATATTTTGTGATAATGTGGACATATATATATAATCAACACAAAGCCATTAAGAAAAAAAACAACTAACCAAGTTATTTAAAATCTGTAATCTGTAATAAAATCTGTAATTTAAAATTGTAAAATCTCATCTTTAAGGCCAGAAATATCCATTATTGGATCTTTAGTATTTCACCAATATGGTTACAGCTCAACTAGATATTTTATAAGCACAAAGACACAAGTTAACTTGCTGGGTTTTGCTCTTTTGTGATGTGACAGAAAGACCTAAACTATTCCCACCCCCACGCTGTGGAGGAAAAAGGCACCATTCCATGACATGCTATAAAATGTGTGCTTTCCATTGTAAAGTCTGCAGGAAAAAAAAGTGCTGAGGGAAACCAAACATCAAGAACAGATCTCTTAAGCCATGCCACTTCACAAACGTGTCGCATTGGCTTCCACACTTGAGCACTGCAAAGGGCTGCTCCATTGTGATTGACCAAACACACACACGGCACCCTTGTCACCCGATAAGAGCTCAAAGATTGCTTCCCCTTTCATGTGCTTTGCTTGGTGACCTTCACATAACCAGCTTACATACGCACACTCAGACAGAAGCATGTACTGCATGTGAAAAAAGAACAGATAGTCAGCGTTTGCCAAAAAAATAGCAAGAGCCCATCCTGTGTTTCTGTGACGCGTCAAACCGCTCACTGACCGTGATGTGACCTTACTCCATGCAGACAAGCCAGCGGGGTTAAAGTGAGGTGAACGTGTGTGTTCTTAGTGTGGTGTGTGCTGAGGCTCGCATGTTGTGACGATGAACTGGTCCTGTAACTGAAGAGCAGCTTAGCACTCTACCTGACCCCCGCAGTGATGAGCATAACATGAGCACAAAGGCTGAAGCTGCCTAGCACAGCCCAGACAGGCATGGCACAACTCCGCACAGGGACCCATGACTATTTAATGACCATTACCAGGCCTGGAAACACACCTCCTCTCAGCTACTATGCGTTTTCTTCAGCTACAAAGAATGAACCCATACACCTGTGAATTAACATGGATGAATGTTGACAGAGGCAACATGGGCAGGTTATGCTATGTGATTTTACTCTTCTGAGGGGAAATCAGAGGTCACAATACACTTAGGTTTCTTCTATTTCTCTGTGTAGATTAGTCTATTTTCAGTTTCCAGCTGATGTTGAATGGTGCTTTGAAACAAAACCAACTCCTGGTGACCCCCTCCCTCTTCCATTTTTAATAGGATTTAACAGCAAAAGATCCAGTTTTAAAAAGAGTTGTTCATCGCTAACAGCGTTTCTATTTATGAGTGTTCACCAGAACAGGTTGTCTGTTGTAATCACGGAAGTTGAACATTAAGAAAGGGATTTCACAATTATCTCCTTTAGCATGGCTAAAATGGCCATCTTGGATTTTTAATGTTGCCATGGCTATGAGTGTATTAATATGTCTGGACATTGTATAAGACTGAGTCCAGTCTGTACTTGTTGTATGGCGCCCCCTTTTGAAACAGTCTGTCTACTTATGTCTTTCTTCATCATGTAAATAACTGATGTACTTTGGCATTGAAAAAATATTTCGGCAGCATTATGGTCTTAAATAGCTAAATTCAGTTTAAGGCACACTCTTGTGTGCTGTGATTAAATTTCATTTTCAAGTTGCTGAAAATTGATAAACTGAACAGTGGTGTTAATCTACCTTTGCCTCGATGTGGAGAGGCAATTTCCTGTTACCATTATGTTTTCTATTTTCAAAACGTATTTTTAGAAAGCTCCCCATAGCCAGTAAAATCCATTATTACAACAGTATTGACAGTGCATTGGCAGAGAGTGAACAGTAATCGCGTTTGACGCAGCTATGGGACAAGTGTTTCATGCTTTAGGCCGAGTCGACTGACTCTGTGACATTTAATGCGCCATATTTTCATGTGGCCCTTTGTTACTCTTCAGGCTGCATTTTATGTGGACAACTACACACTTTCAATTACCCTTGCCTGTAGCAACGTTTTTTTTAGGTGACTGAGAGATGTAAAGTGAATAGGTAAAAAAAAAAAAAAAAAAAAAAATGGATCAGAGAAGGATAGAGTTAGTGGATAGGGAAGTGCTGAGCAGGGTGTGGTTAGTCAGTGAATCACACCATACCCAAATCGAAGTTCTGATTGTAAGTTGCTCATTTTGATGATTTAATTAGATATATTTTTGTTAGATTTCCATATTTCTGATTTTACTTGCACTTTAAAGACATTTTCATCCTGATCTGTTAAGTTTCCTCATTTTCATATTTTTTTTTTTAGTGTAATCAGGACAGTGTATAAACATTTTATAATAACTTAAGCCATTTCCTTAGGCAAATTAACTTCCATTGACTTTGGCATAGAAACATCAAAAGTGAGCATTGCAATATT